ATCTTAATTAATTTTTTGTTATCTTCCTAGCGGTGTACTTGGTGGCACCCGAGTTCATATTTTTAGAAAATTACCATTTTACCCCTGGGGGCTTATTTGTCATATTTTTTATCTTTTGTTTCCACATCAGTTCTCATTGAGTTCCACAACCTTATGGAAGGTTACTTTGACTTCTTAGAGTATTATTTTTTGTTTTCGCATCCGCATTCGAATCCGTTAGTGGGTCAATCTTCGGTTCATCACAGGACGCACTGGCTTGAAAAACCAAGGCTGTCACAGTCTTACCCCTCTTCAAGTAAACCCTAACTTTCTTCGCATAGTCGCGACTCTTCTTGTTCGCTGAAGACTAGAGAGTCTTGACTTGACTCTCGTTGACCTACTGATTACTTACACCATCTCTAGGCATGGGACCGAGCCTGGCCGCTTTTATTTTACTTTCTCTCTTCAACAGAGGATATGTAAGGACTTCCCTTCCTCCGAGAAGAAGTGGAAAGAGAAGATAATTATTAAGGAGAACTGGTTTGTTCATCAATCAAATAAACTCCCAATCCCTCACAAATTTGGGAAGTTAGATATAGAATATTTTCCCTCCCTTCATAAAAAATGCTCTGGTTGCTTCCCTTATCAAGTTGTACTATTTCGTTATGCTTACGAATTTCATGGTATTTTTTTAGCTACGTTCCCCTCCTCTGTAGCTAGAAAGAGGCTCAATTTCCTTAAAGAACAAGTTTGGAGTAATCCCCCTTCGGTTGAGGATCTACTCTCTTCATCCAATATTAAGGAAATTGCTTCTAGTGCTTCAGCTACTGAGCTCATGGATTTAGCAGTTCCTTCTTTCGACAGCTTTCCTCTAACTGAGGAAGAAAAACAGAAAGCCGAAGTGATGAAGAAGAAAGCCGATGAACCTCTTGCAGTTGTACGCTCGACTAAGCATGAGAAAGAGGTTGATAAACCTCCTTTTAAAAAAACTAAGAAAAACCTTCCTTCTTCCAAAAGCAAAGGTGTTGACCTTGGGAAGAAAAAAGGAAACAAAGATAAAGAGGTGGCACCTGAAGAAGAGGTTCAGGCCTTTATCTTGGCGGATAAAGGAGAAGCTTGGAAACCAACCATCTCCAGAGCTAACAAATCGGTGTTCCATTCAGGAGATTCAGTAGTCACTGATTCATTTGCTGCACTGGCAGTTGCACGTCGGATGTGGCTACCTAAGGACGAACAGATTATAAGCAACATGGGGCTAGAGCAGCTGCTGCCTTCTGCCCCGTTCGAGCTATGGAAGTTTGCCCTTTTCCTTTCTTTGTTATTTCCTCAGCTTTTTTTCCACTACATTTACACTATTATTGTTATTGTTGACTATGTAGAGCCTATACCACACTATGGCCTTATGTGCCACTACTAAGGCTCAATCAATTTCTGTTTGAAAATTGGAGAGGGATCTTGCTTCTGCTAAGAAGAAACTAGTCCATAAGACTGCGGATGCTAAGATGGCTTCTAATGTGAGAGATGTCTACAAAAGTCATCTTGCAGCTGCTGGGGCTAAGATGAAGGAGTTGGAAGCTGAGAACTTGCGCTGGAGGGATGCAGTCAACACTTGCATAACTGCTGCGAAGCAGATGCAGGAGCGCTATTCAGTATTGGTGCGCCTGTTTAGTGCAAAAGCATTCCGGTATGGCTTCGCTCAAGGTTCAGGCAATAAAACAAAGGATCCAGATGCTTTAGATGCGGACATGGAGGTGTCCTTCCCTTATGCTGAAGGTCCGAAGGCCCAAGAAGTTAAGGTGTTATTCGCTAAAACAAATTTCTCTCTCTTATCCTTTTGCACATATAAAACTTTATACGTGTTGTTTCATTAGCATACATAATTGATAGGATATATAAAAGTCTTTTATAATGACAAAGAGATGATCAGTTTTCCTTTTAATAACTTAATATCCACTTTCTATCAAAGTAAGAAACAAATAGGAAAACATTTCTCCAATAATTAATTACCAAAAAGGTAATTAATAAGTTGACTAAATAATATAATATTAATCTGATATATATTTATGAGAGCCCCTTCCTATGTGTTTAGAAAACGAACTTTTTAATGCGAGAGGTCGTTTCTCAAGGTCAAAATATGAATGTGGTTTCGGAAGCCTCTCTAATCAAATTTACATTTATAAAAACCACTACTACAACTAATGAAGTATAGCGAGAAGGGATCGTCCACAGAGATTATACGTGTTGGAATTTAACTTCGACTCTAGCGTATCAAAAGATTGCAAAGGAAGGTTGGGTGGTTGATTACTCTAGAAAACAATTAATTAAAATGCAAGTAAAGTAAACTAATGAGAGACAGGGATTTAAGAGATGTGAAGAGAGGTCTTAGGGTGTTGGAATCACCACTAAGCTCATGTAATTAACCCCTTGCTTTCCATTAATGGAGAATATATTATTACAATCTAGATGTAGCCACAATCATAAATACAATTTGCATGTAAAAGTGTGAACTATCTAATGCAAGAGTGAATTGTCTACCTAACCAATAAGTAAACTAAGTGTAGAACAACCCACCAAGACAAAAGCATAATCCATCAATTAATTAACAAATGGGTCTAATGAGAGTACACATCAATATAGAGAATCATGGAATTTGCAATAATAAGCCATGGAATATCAAATCAAGTATAGATTGTCTACCTACCTACAAGCATGAATTAAATTGTAGAACAACCCATCAAGCATAAGTATAATTCATCAAATTAATTGACAAACCCATTCAATGAAAACCCATGCTTAGCCATCACTAAATTCTTAATTAATCACACATAGACATGCAACCAACATAGAGAATCTATTGTAGAGATCAATTCCCAAATAATCATACATAAGACAACATGTAATTAAAATAGAGAATCATAAGGAAGAATTAAATCAACAATCACAAGGCTAAGCACTAATCACAACAATATATATATAAATCCCCAAAAATAGAAATACAAGGGTTTAGATTACACAAGACTTAGGACTCATCCAAGCCCTAAGTGTAGATCTAGCCAATCATGAAGGAGGTGGATGTAGTCATGAAACCATCAAGGGCAAGCTCCAAACATGGCTCCATCATCTTCTTCTTCTTCTTTGAAGCTCTAGAGAGAGTATGTGTGTGTGGATCTAGAGATGTATTCTTAAGATGTGCCTCCACTTCCCTCTTTTCTTTTAACCCTAATCTCTAACTTTGTAGAGAGAGAAACTAATGAAAATATAGAAATTATAATGTAAAAATATCAATTTCCCTACAAAAATGGTTCAATCCCTCTTATATACAAGGTTTTTAAAGCCCAAAAATGTGAGAACTCGGCGCTAGGATCTTCCCTTTCAAGCACAGCTCGAGTTGGTTCAAAATGAGCTTTAGATATACTTTTTTAATAACTTTCGCGAACAGTTCGATCGATCCAACTTTTCTTTGATCGATCAGAGTTCGATCGATCTAAAATAAGTTCGATCGATCAGAAATAAGTTCGATAGATCCAAGTTGGTAGTTTTTTAGCATCAGCCTCCTTTTACTCCAAATTCTCACCAAGACTTAGTTTGACTTCAAAAAGGCCTTAAGAATCCATTTTTAGCTCCTTTTAACTTTATTAACCTGAAATAGACAAAAACACAAATAAGTACTAAAACAGGTAAATAAAGATAGATGAATGGACTAAAATACCCTCGCTTAGGGGGTTTAAATGCGCACTTTTTAGCGCTCATCTATTTACTTAACTAATAATTAATGAAATATATCACATGTCCAAATCATGTGGACCACACAATTAATAAATAATCTTACATGTGTGTGAGAGAGAGAAAAAAAGTGTGGTTGGTGAAGTACTTGCACGAGCGTGTATCAATGAGTTCTGGATGTATGCTTTTGTGAGCAACCGTATATAATAATAATAATAATTATTATTATTATACATTAATTAACAACACTTAATGTATAATTAATGTATAATTATTAAAATTTTGCTTGTGAGGTGGTACTTGATGTAAGCTTGTGTTGTGATTATCAATCATGTTATTTGGATATGTTTAATAATAAAATAATAGTTATTAAAATTTAAGCAATTATAGATAGCTGGAGTGATAATTGTCAGGCATATATAATCTTGTGATGACACATGCATCTAAAATTTAAAATATTTTATTATTGTTATTATTAGTGATAAAATAATACTCATATCACTTTACTTTGGTTCATGTCCATCTAGTGCCAGTTTCAGGTTGGATTGTCCTAGTCATACATATTCCACCAGTGACAGTCTTTGACTACATACCATTCATAGTTTTATTCTCTTCTCAGCTATATTATATTACATTACAGAACATATGATATAATTTAGTTTCCAAAACTCTTCTAGCAGTCAGAAGAGATAGAAGTAAAAGAAATATACATGGTCCAAGAATAATGATATATATATATATTTAAATGTTTAAATGAACTAACGTTGGACGGATAGCATAGAGAACATATGCAAATGGAAAGGAGAGAGCAAAATATGAATTTGATTGGAACAAAGGAATGCAAAAGCCTATTTATAGGAAGATAGGGTATGACAGTCATATTGAGGGTACTTTCGAAATTAATAAAAAAGTATCACTAATGCGCATCACAAAATAGATTGAAAGTGGCCGGAAGTAAAATGTAAAGGGACAAGTTGCTCACATTTAAAATTATAGGGACTGACTTACTCACTTTTATGCCATAAAAAATTATTGTGTAGAAGAGTTTTTTTACACCTTTGCCAAATATATATAACTTAAAGTTTTTTTAAAATATCGCTGAATGGTATGTTAACTAGTGTTATCTTCCCTTTAAAAGTTAAAGATAAAGGCTCCACGGATATAAATAATAATAATAATAATAAATAAATAAATAATTCTTTCACGTGTGTCATGCATACACAATCTAACATATCATTCAATATATCTTTATATTACACACAATAATTTGTAAATTTGACGTCATAAACATCGTGACATATCTTGCAAAAATCTAGAATTTTATTTATTTTTTATTCCATACCTGCATACAAGCCATTACATCTCAAGATTAAGCAACTTTCGCCTCCAAAAACTTTGAAATCATATATGATCTTATTACATGCCATACTCTTCTACTTCTCTAGACACGTATCTCTCTCCGGCTGACAAAATCCGAACATGAACCGAACATTATACACTCCCAAAACCAGACCACACAGTATTTGCGCACAGTTGCAGGCATATCTTTTATTAAGCTTTCCACGAGGACAAGGGTGGAGTGTCTGAGTTCTCCCAAGTAGTCATCGACGGCCCATATCTCTCGCCCTTAACTGCATCAGCTGAAGCAATGGCTGCGAGTTCTGCCATTTCTTCTGGTGTTAGTTTTACAGACAATGCCCCGATGTTCTGCTTGAGGTTCTCAATCTTGGTAGTACCCGGTATCGGACAAACGTCGTTTCCTTGGTGATGGACCCAGGCCAATGCTAGCTGGGATGTGGTGCATTGCTTTCTTGCTGCCATTTCACTAACCCGCTCAAATAGATTTTTGTTATGTTCAAGATTCTCACCTTGGAACCTGGGGTTATACTACAAAACAGAGATGTCAGCATCAAAACTGCATACTCACATACACAAAAGAACCGAGCACATAACATTAATTAACACAGTATATATGTTTCCTAGTCATGCTGTGTCTTTCCAACAGATCAAGCAAAAACGTTATTTACACAACAAAAATTTAATGAAAAATGTTATTTATTAGATGGATCAGCAAATTCAATGGAAAGGAATTAAAATTAGATTGCTTTCTTCATTTTGTTGAACATTGACAGATAATCAAACTTCTTGTCAAAATGCAAAAGAAGGTCGAGTAGTCTGAAACCAATCATTAACATCAAATTCTTCTAATAGCAAATACAACCCGAGGGAAAACCAATACCAGGTGATCTACACAACATTGAGTTTCAGATAGATGAAACGAGAAAAAAGAGTAAGAGGTGCACGAACGTAACCTTGGGCTCTAATCTAGACTTATAGAGGGGTGAATAGGTCTTGTTAGCTAAATTAACTAATTTTAGCAAATTTTTGAATTTTTTGTTGATTTAACAACTATTCAAAAATTTAAGTACCAAACAAATTAACAGTCTCCTCACTCCATCACGCATCCAATCACATAAACAATTCATATGTAAATAAATGTAGCTTTTCGTGGGATGCTTTTTCCGTTTGAACGCCTTTTATACAATCTTACTTAACAAAAAAGTATGTGAATAAATGCAGTAAAGTTAGAAACACAAATGGATACAGGGATTTTTTTTACGTAGAAACTCCAAAGGAAAAAAACACGAGACCTAATCCAGACAGATCAAATTCACTATGGGGGAGAGACTTACACTACTAGGTTAACAATTCTTAATCCTTGGAACTCCTAGTTACCTCTTGACACAAACTGATCTACCAAAATATCCACTTGAATCTCCACTGTATCAGCAGTTCTGCTCCTCACAGGACCTGCTTCTTAAATGCAGTAAAGGTAGAAATACAACGGATACTCATCTCTGCTTTCTCTCTCTATAAACCACAACATCATGATGACATTTATTCAGGACATGGTTCCTGATATTTACAAAAAAGATGATCATGACATCAGAAAATTTATGCCTGGTTGAGAAGTGAATATATTTCTTTAAAAGGTATTGAAAGAACTATATTTGATAGACCCATTGAGCTTTGTAATAAATTGTGAAACCCAAAATGCATGTGTTATACATAGACAAACCTTTCGGAAGTCACCGTTCGATAAGTTCTCCACCAACTTTGGACCAGATGAAAAGAATCCCCGTCCTAGAGGACTGTACGCAACAATCCCAATGCCAAGTTCCCTGAATAATCATAAGAGGAATAAACTTAGGACTTGAAACACTTATCACTCCCTAAGGCCTAAACAGATAAATTAGAACAAAAGATGTCTCGCCTGCAAGTAGGAATTATTTCTTCCTCTACATCTCTTGCCCACAGAGACCACTCCAGCTGCACAGCTGTTATCGGATGAACAGCATGCGCCCTTCTGATCGTTGAAGCTGAGGCCTCGGATATACCTATATATTTTATTTTACCCTCTTCAACCAGTTTCTTGAGTTCTCCCATCTTGCAAAAAGACATTTCAAAAAGGATTAAGAAAAGGTGAATTAGAAGCTTGTTCAAAAAAAAAAAAAAAAAAAAAAAAGGAGGCATCTTTTAAAACTAGGTAACTACATTAAGATTGAATGCCTTCTGCTTATAATTAAAGAAAATGATTGAATGTGTTAATGTGATAATATTTTTGGATAAGTACTGTGTTCATGATAAATGATCTCTACCCAATGCTAATTTTTCTTTTCCAGGGGTCGGAACAATGTGAACTACCATAAAAAAGTGGACCATGGTGGTTATTACAAAATATGGAAAATTTTCTCTTGCACAGTCGGAACAATTCTGATCATAATGAATTTAATTCCAAGGTGAATCCAAGTGTAGACATGATTACATATAGTTGGAGTTGGTGACCTAGAAAATGTAATTTTTTTTAGTCGAGGCAAAATACCTCTCTTTTTATATCTAATAATATAGGACAGCACAATAACAATCAGAATATGAGGAGGTATATGGAAGCAAATTCTACGAGTGGGTACTGAGATATGTTACAAAATCAAAAGAACAAATCTATTATGAGGGTGCTCTCACTGTTAGCTCACGCCTTCAATCGTACCCTCGAGGTCTCTCGAATGGCATTGATGTAGAAATCTTAAAATCAACTTAGTCACCATAGTGGGAGTGATGAGTAACTGTTTGAATACATGTAATTGGTTAGATTCATGCTCTTGAAGCCTATACTAAATTTATGCACTGAATTAACCCCAAGGGGTTGGCTCAGGTGGGTAAGTCACTTGATCCTGGTGCAAACATTTTTATGTAGGCAATTCATATTATTATTATTATTATTATTATTATTATTTTTTTTTGAAGAATAACAATTCGTTGTCTTTCATTTTGCACAATAATGACTTAAAGAATAGCAATTCCTTGCTTTCATTTGCACAATGGTTAAATAATTGCTTACCTATCATTTCCTAAACATGGTAAAAAGAAAAAAACCAGATGAATCCTAATGTACATTAAAATTAATTATTTAAACCAGATGAAAAAAACCAGATAAAAAACCATATGTTTACAGAGAGGGAGGAAGAGGCAAAAGGGGGCTAACCGTGACTTCGATAGGGATTCGAGTGTCGATGCGATGCTGGTAATAGAGATCGATGCAATCGATGTCGAGCCTCTTCAAACTGGCTTCACAAGCAGCTCTCACATAGGCCGGATCGCCATTGATTAAGGTATTCCCATCCAGAAATCTGATGCCGAACTTGGTGGCCAATTCCACTTTCTCTCTCATCCCTCCCTTCAATGCCTGCGCCAATCAAACATCAAATTGTTCACATTTGGTGATTTGATTTGCATTTTCTCGCACTGGAAAAAATGGTGTATTCAAGCAAACTAGAAAAGGTGTCGTACCTTGCCGATGAGAATTTCGTTGGTGTGAGGGCCGTAGAGGTCTGAGGTGTCGAGGTGGGTGACGCCGGCGTTAACGGCGTGGTGGATGAGGGCGATCATGTCCTGGTCGGGCTTCGGAGGACCGTAGGCGGCGGACATGCCCATACAGCCCAGTCCCTGAGCTGATACCTCTAGACCTTGTGTACCCAGCTTAATTCTTCTCACTGTAGCCATCTCTCTCTGTTGTTGCTTTCTGTGTTCTCTGTGTGCGTGGGTAGGGGCTAGAGAGAGAAAGAGAAGTGTATTTATAGAGAGAGAAAGCAGAAATGAGTTGCCAACTTGCTCCACTGTACGGAGCTAGCAGGTACTGGCCGCCTACCGTTGTGCTGACGTAAGCACTTTCGTTACAAAACAATACAGTTAAAAATAAGGGGAAAAATCACAAAAAGGCCCCTATACTATTAAATCGGTGCAAAAAAATCCCACTAAATTTAAAAACTCTCTAAAACTAAAAAAAAATGTTATCAAGTTGCCCCAAATAAGTATAAAATGACAAAAGTATCCTTATAATTTAATTATTAAATTTAAAACTTATAATATTATTGTAAGATTACAAAAATACCGCTCACCTCTTTCTAAAACTCTCACCACACCCATTGCTTGGAGAATTTATTTATAATATTATTGTAAGATTACTCCTTATATATTTTAATTTAATAATACAGGAGAATTTTGTTATTTTTTTCCTAAAAATAATTTTTTAAAAGTGAACAAGAAACTAATTTTTAAAAATATTAAAATATATAAGTTGTAATTTATTATTAATTTTATTACTACCATATTTTTGTGGTGCGAGGTAAGCCCTTACGTCAGGTTAAAATTGTGAGGAAATCCCTTACGTCAGCACAACAGTAAGCTTTTTTTATCTCTCATGTACCAACTCCCTCCGCCCAGCACACTGGAGGAGTCACAGCGTTCTCCTCTCTCCCTCCAACACTTCCCGATTACACCTTCCCGCCTCTATATACACACTCACGTACATAGAGATGCAATGATTTGTATTATTGTAAATGGTTGATTTATTATAGATTGAATCTGATCAATGCACTCGCCGATTAACAATTAAAATTTTTTTTTCGGTGATTGAACCGGATAAATTGCAATGAACTAACATAATTCAGGAGTTAATTGTATTTTTTTATAGTCCAGGAGAGTGAATTGCATTTTGGCTAATAGCTGAGGTGGTCTACCCTTTTTTGTTTTTTTTACTACCATTTTTTTGTGGTGCGAGGTAAGCCCTTACGTCAGCTCAAAATTGTGAGGAAATCCCTTACGTCAGCACAACAGTAAGCTTTTTTATCTTTCATGTACCAACTCCCTCCGCCCAACACAGTGGAGGAGTCACTGCCTTCTCTCTCCTCTCTCTCTCTCTCCAACACTCCCAGATAACACCTTCCCGCCTCTATATACACACACTCACATACATAGAGATGCACACAGAAGTCTAGATCAACAAAGAAAACAACAACGTAACAGAGAGATGGCAACAGTGAAGAGGATCAAGTTGGGTTCACAAGGTCTAGAGGTATCAGCTCAGGGACTGGGCTGTATGGGCATGTCCGCCGCCTACGGTCCTCCGAAGCCCGACCAGGACATGATCGCCCTCATCCACCACGCCGTCAACGCCGGCGTCACCCACCTCGACACCTCAGACCTCTACGGCCCTCACACCAACGAAATTCTCATCGGCAAGGTACGACACCTTTTCCAATTTTGCTTGAATTATGTAGATGATCACCAAATGTGAACAATTTAGGGTTTGATTGGCGCAGGCATTGAAGGGAGGGATGAGAGAGAAGGTGGAATTGGCAACGAAGTTCGGGATCAGCCTTGTGGATGGGAAGAGGGAAATAAAGGGCGATCCTGCCTATGTAAGAGCTGCTTGTGAAGCCAGCTTGAAGAGGCTTGACATCGATTGCATTGATCTCTATTACCAGCATCGAATCGACACTCGCCTCCCCATTGAAGTCACGGTTAGCCCCTTTTGGCCTCTCTCTCTATATATATTATATGTATCATAGAAATGATAAATATTGGTCATGTATTGAATTCATCTAATTATTTGTTTTTCCTATTCTTAGGGGATGATAAGCAATTATTTGACTATTGTGCAAATGGAAGACTAGGAATAGATGTTGTATAACTTCATTTTTTAATATCTCCTGGTTATTTTTGGGATTATGATGCCACATTGCTTAAAATCATCTTATTTGGGTCATTCATTGTTTTTTTTCTCCTTTCCTCCCTCCATTTCCCTTTGTGGTAGGTAACCTTTTGGGAATACACACTCTGCCCCAGTTTATATCCCTCATTCTGAATTGGGTAAACCTATCATGAGGGCACACTTGATGGAAATAAGAGGGCTAGAATAAATTGGAATTTGGAGAGAAATAGAGAGGGAGAAACACTTGAAAAGTTCTTTTATTCCACTTCAGAAATATGGCTAGAGTACATAAGTTTTATAGGCTTCGAAAAGTATGTATCTAACACATTATATGTATTCAAACATTTCTACCATTATTCCCACTACGTTGACTGTTTGACAAGTACAGACTCTCACTGTTGCACTAAGATGAATTTTGGGCATATACTAATTCCCACTAAGATGACTTCAAGATTTCTATATAAATCCATTCATTGTCCAACGTGAACCATTCAAATACCATGCATGTAGAATGGACTATAAGTTTTAGAAAATAAAATCAAGATCAATTTTAAACGCCCCCCTTAAACTTGATTTTGTTATTCAAAGTCAACTCCTTAGCCTACAATCCACATCAAACATGATAGCCAACGCTTGGGAAAAATATCGATAATCTGATCTTGAGATGAAATTGTGCTCCCACCTCCATTTTATCTACAATCTTTGTAGCCATTTCCATTCATGTGTAGGGCTTGTCAAAGATCTTTACATGTTTGTATAATATCCTTACATGATCATGTATCATTTTCTTCTTCACATGAGCACACCAATGGTTTTCCTTCATGAATTTTCCTTACCTTTTGAACTTCACTTGTGCTTTTTGATTTCTCTTTTTCTACGTTCATCCTACATATATCAATTACAAAGTACTCCATACCAATTTAAAAATTAGAATAACAATTTGAGAAATCTATACTACCTTGATGTTCACTCTTACTCTCACACTTGAATGGAATAACTTCACCGTAATAAGTTCATAAATCCCTATAACAATATGACCGCTCATAGTTTTCTTTCATTTTGGTTAGTGTATATGATCATTTTTGCATATTTAGTTTTCCTCTTCCTTTTTGTTCACCATTTCAAGTTGTCTTTCAAATTTTGCATCTTTAGTTTCATCAACTTCATGCATATAAAACTCATCCCCGTACTCCATGGGTAGATTCAAGAATGTCATAATCTTCCTTTGTAAACTCACTTTCTCAAAGCTTTGTATCCAATACTCCATAGGTAATGATCAACGTTTATGACTAGAGATATTTGTCTCCAGCATCTTCCAAACATGACTTGGAGATTTGGACTCTCTAATATGCTTCCAAGTTTCTTGATGTATTGCCTTTTTACCAAAGTGCAAGAAGTCTGTTGGACATGCAATTTTTAACTATTGTCCAACATTTTCCCACAAATCACATGCTTTGAGATGTGAAGTGATGAAAATCTTCGTCTTTAATAGATTTTGTCCTCTTCTTCTTTAAGGATATATATTTTGTCCTTTAAAATGCTAAACCTTTCAGGATCATTGGGGCTATAATATATTGAGGTCTTCAGGATCATCTGGCTCTAACAGCACTTTGTTAGAAAATAAGAGGGATAGAATAAGAAATTGATATTGGGAGAGAAGGGGAGAGAGAGAAACACTTAGAAGCCACTTCATAAAAATGGGCTATAATAACTTTGTATAGGGTTGAGAGCATGTATCTAACCAATTATACGTATTCAAACAGTTACTCATCACTCCCACTGTGATGACTTTTGGGACATTGACAAACTCCTACTATGTTGATTTAAAGATTTCTACATCAATGCATTCAATTTACATGACCCTTGAGGGTTCGATTGAAGACATGAGCTAGCAGTGAGAGTGTTGTGTATTCTCTTGGGAGCGCTCCCCTTTTGTGTGCATTTAACGAATTCTTACTTATCAAAAAAAAAAAAAAAAAATGCTAACAGTGAGAGTGGCCCTCAGAATAGATTTGTTCTTTCGATTTTGTAGCACATCTCATCACCCACTCATATAATTTGCTTCCATATACCTCCTCGTATTCTGACTGTTATTGTGCTGTCCTATATTTCGCCACAAGACTAAAAAAGTGACGTTTTCTAGGTCACCAAGTCCAACTATATGTAATTGTGTCTACACTTAGATTCACCTTGGAATAAACATCATTATGATTGGAATTGTTCTTATTGTGTAAGAGGGTTTTTTTTTTTCATATTTTTTAATAACCACTATGGTCCACTTTTTATAGTAGTTCAAATTGTACCAACCTATGGGAAAGAAAAATTAGCATTTGGTAGAGATCATTTATCATGAACACAAGCAACTTGGATTTGACGTCATTATAATAGGAATTGTCCTGATCATGTAAGAGAAAATTTCCCATATCTTGTATAACCACCATGGTTCATTTTTTTAATTGTAGTTTAAATTGTTCCAACAAATGGAAAACAAAAATAGCATTTGGTAGAGAGCATTTATCATGCACACGTTACTTATAAAAAAATACTGTCACGAACACATGCAATCATTTTCTTAAGCAGAAGGCATTCCATCTTAAGGTAGTTACCTAGTTTTAAAAGTTGTTTTGTTACACTAACAAATCGTGTGGCAGAGTCATAGAAATTTTATCTGTTTCTCTTACATGTTATGTCTACATAATTTGAGTATCTCCAATAATATTCCTGAAATCCTTTTTGGAATGTCCTTTGCAAGATGGGAGAGCTCAGGAAACTGGTTGAAGAGGGTAAAATAAAATATATAGGTCTATCTGAGGCGTCAGCTTCAACGATCAGAAGGGCGCATGCTGTTCATCCGGTAACAGCTGTACAGCTGGAGTGGTCCTTGTGGTCAAGAGATGCGGAGAAAGAAATAATTCCTACTTGCAGGTGAGACATCTTTTGTTCTAATTTATCCGTTTAGGGAGTGACAAGTGTTTCATGGTCCTAAGTTTTTTCCCCTTGTGATTATTCAGGGAACTTGGCATTGGGATTGTTGCATACTGTCCTCTAGGAAGCGGATTCTTTTCATCTGGTCCAAAGTTGGTGGAGA